GATTACCCAGATTAATTTAATTTGATTTGATCATTTGCAAATTTTTCGCTGTGCACAATTATCCTTTATTATTGGATGTCGTTACGTATCAAATTTGCGTCAATTTGTACGCAGTCAGTTGATGAATGGGTGAATACCTACATAATCTAAATAGGTTTATCTCTCTCTCTTGGTGGGTGCACAAAATCTTGGGATTTCTTTGCTAAAAAACGTGCCAGATTAATGTGATTAGTTGCAAATTTTTTAAAATTTGTTCCTTAGATTCGTTACATATTTATGAAAATTTGCATTAATTTTATTCCCCAGTGGGTAAATAGGAAAAGGTAATCTGAATCTAAATAAATTTGCATATTAACTATCTCTCGAAAATTTGATTATTTGCATATTTTTCAAAATTTACTCGTTAAATTCGTCACATATTAATGAAAACTTCCATCAATTTTGCATATTCTTCAGTCCGTAAATACATAAATAGGAATATTTAGGTAATCTAAATATGTTTGCATATTATCTCTCGCAAAAATTTGATTAATTTGATAATTTTCCAATTTTTCAAAATTTACTCCTTAAATTAAATATTTTTGAAAACTTACATCAATTCTGCATATTCTTCAGTCGGTAAATACATGTAACTAGGAATATGTAATTTAAATAGGTGACTTACCATCTCTCGCAAATATTTTGCGATTTCCTCCCTCAAAAAATGTACAGATTAATTTTATCGTGTTACAAATTGTACAAATACTCTAGAGATGTCATCGTCCGATATGAAATTTCCGTCAATTTTTACTCCGTCAATCTGAAATAAAGGTACTTGTCTGAAAAACTTGTCTGAAAAAAGCATGGTATCGACTTCTATGTACTTCCATTCAACAACCGTTTTCCCGTTATGTACTTCGTACCTGGTAACAAACTCATAACTCACGCCGTGCATTCTGTTCCCTTCTGACCTTATTCGATCAAAACCAGACTAAACCTCTCATCAAACCGATGAATGAACACGGAACGGACCCCAAAATAATTTTATGACCACGACGAATTCGCGTATATCAATTTCATTTCTTTCTTTCACAACGTGCATCTCATTTCCTGCTAACAAAAGTAATGTAATCCAATTTTGTACATTTTAAAAACTCACTTTTTAAACCGAGCCCAACTCTTCTCGGATGCAAACACAGCAGTGGCCGCGGAAGCCGTGGGGACATCGGGGGACGTTAATATTGTGGGATGGGGGGAGGGAGTGGTTGTATAACATGGGCAGATGATGCGGACATCGAATAACCGTGGGGACATTGTCCCGCTGTCCATACATACGCTTCCGCGGCCACTGATTGTACCTGCTTAACGTTAACTTTGACTGATTTACTAACAAAAGAAACACATCTCTTGACAAGAAGACAACGTCTTTTTGATTTCCTTTCTTATGTATACATCGTCTCTCGTCTTTTGCTATATTATGTACAGCGGAACTGGGGCGGAACGCAGTTTACTAGAGTAGAAGAGTGTTCCCTAAGAAATCGCAACAATGAAAAATAAATCTATGCGAAATATTTAAGTAATTCATTTCGTACTTTATTATTTTTATTACTCGACTTATTTAAAATCCAAGCATCTATTAAGAATTTGAACCAAATTCGGTTTTATTTGCTAGAGTAAAAAAAATTAATAAAATTGCAACAATGAAATGCAAAATAAAAATGCATGCAAAATGATTCGTTTCTTGTTAGTTATTGCTCTTAAGTTTGGTCCGAATTCAGTTTTATGCACTAGAATAAATATTAAAAAAAGAGTGGTTCTTAATAAAATTGCAACAATGCAAATAATCTGTATGCAATGCAAAATAATGCAAGTAATTTTTATTGCTCGAATTATTTAAAGACATCATTTTTTAAGCAATTATTTGCTTAAAGGGTTTTAAATTCGGGGTAAATTTTGATTCTTCTTTTTGAACCAAGTGGAGCAAAGACGGAAAGAGATAAAATACAATTGTAAACTAAAATTATGATTTATTCTATTAACAAAGTTTGGTTTATTTAAGTTACGTAGGTACGCGGTAGTTATTTATTACCCCATTACTATCACAGGTTTAGCTAATGGGGGTAGTTTTTTATACGTGTAAAAAAGTTAGTCTGCTTGACCACGGTCCGGAACAAAAATGTAATAATTTGTGATTATCTCAATTTTAAGATTATTATTTTAATTTTTCACTACAAAAATATATTAAAAAAAACATATTATACGTGTAAATAAAGTCGGGTCGGGTGTATTTCAATTGTTGGTAAAATTTTTAGTAAAAGTTTTGGTAAAATTCAATGCCAAAAGTCACTCCGGAGAAAAAAATGGTTTAAAAATTTGCGAAAGATAAGTTGAATGATGATGTGTATTCCAAGTTTTTGTTCTTAATTTTAAGTTTGCAATAAATAGACTTGACTCATCGCCCATTTACTTAATTACGACATGAAATGAATGGTTAATTAATTTTCCTGGATGATAAGCAAGCAGATCGTGAAGAATTATTACTCACAATGGAGGTCTCCCAACGTATGCTTACAGATTTGGACGAAATTAGTGTCAATCGATCACAAATATAATTGGTATGAAATTTGCAAATGGAACTATCTGCCAATGCGCAGGTTTGACGGAGATATTTGCATCCAAAGCAGAAAAAATGCGCAGGAAATTTGGAAAATGAAAAATATGCCAGCCTTTTGGTGCGTTTTCTCCTCTTTTTATGCAAATATCTCCGCCAAACCTGCGCATTGGCAGATAGTTCCATTTGCAAATTTCATCCTAATTATATTTGTGATCGATTGACACTAATTTGGTCTAAATATGTGAGCATACGTTGGGAGACCTCCATTGTTTGATATTTATAGTAAATATGAAGTAAATTACTTTAAAAAGGAAATTCAACAAATACAAAATAAAGGTGAAGGTCATACATAAAGTTGCCCTTTTGCCATACATATTTATTTGTATTTATCTATTTCAATATTTCATAATAATTAGTGCCTGAACTGAACTAGATTATTATTTAATACATACCTTTTGTAAATAATACGTAACAATTCAGGATCGTATTTCCCATTTAATTACAGACTTTTCTACCTTATTTAATTGAAGAACTTGATTCAAGATTTTTTGCCCACCTAGTTTTTCATTAATTAGCATTGTATTTACGTTTACGTTACGTTACGTTACTACATTTTGAATCGGATGAAAACGTAACCTTTGTTTTATTATGTCACCGGATATTTATGTACCGCAGGCACCGACCGGCCGACACCATTTCTTGTTGTTGTTACCTTTATTAAAGGTTGTATTAAAGGTCCTTTAACAACCTACCGGAAAACGGAAATGTGTCAATCATCATTATTTGTTTTAACTTGGATACGTTGAAATATGAACAAAAGAAGAAATTGTAATATTACGTAGATTTAGGAATTAGACCAGAATCAGTCATGAGGAGTATGAGAAGGATGTAAAATTCATTACGTAATTCATCCTGAGTCGTGAATTGAATTTCTGCAGTTTTGTCGTCTTAATAATGAATGTAAAAAAGACATTTTGCTATTTTTTTAAAATTCATTAGGTATGCAGTTTATCCTCGTATTTAGAATCCTGACTCGAGAATTTCGTCGTTTTAATGAACATAAAAACGAAATTCTGCTATTAAAAAAAACAAGTTTACTACATTCCTCCTACTACAATTTTGATTCGTGAATTTCTGCAAATTTGTGCATTTTTGTCATCTAAATGAATACAAAAAAGGAAATTTGCCATTTTGAAGAAAACAAAATTGTCGCGTAATTCATTCTAAATCGAATACATAACTCAAATTTCTACAGTTTTGTCGTCTCAAAAAACTTTGAAATTTTTTTAAACCCCAAAAACCACACATTTTATTTTTTCCAGTTGTTAGTTTAGGTAGGTTCAGGTAGAAAATTACTTTTACCATATAACATAATTACACACACATAAGACATTTATAACATAACATAACGCTACTATTTACATAAATACATAAGTATGTACCTTAAATTTTATGACATTTTACTCATTTACAACTGATTCTTCTTCTGATCTACGTACATACATATTTCCTCATTTATGACTACTTCGAGTAGGAAACGTCGACATGATTAGCGTGTCCGTGTCTCTGCCTCTGCGTGTTGCGGTCATTTGCTTGAAATTTACTTTAACAAATCGGTTGAGAAAAGAAAACCAAACCGAGAAAAAAGTGGGTAGCTTGCCTGTTTTTATTATATTCGCATTAAAACGTGCATATCGTGCAACTTCCTTTTCCTTCTTTTGCCAAATCAAGTGGCAATTCCATCCACGGAGCGAAGCGAGTAAACTTTTCCCATGAACTGAACTTCTCTCACTCTTTATTAAATACGTGGAGTGGTGGAGGATGAACTGTCTCGTTTGCGAATGATAAATTGGTCGCGGAGATCGCAACAAATTGGGGAAAAACGGAATGGAAATGAGGACAAAAAATTGTTTATGTATTTGATCCGAACAGATATGGATGTACGTTGAACTTGAGTGTTTTATTGTTTCTTGCGAATTTGCAAAACTTATTTGCAAAACTTGCATCATGCAAGAAAATAATCCAGAAATATGCCTCATTTAGCCACGCACCGTATAAGAAGTACATCAGCGGCAGGCGTCGTTTCTTGTGATTTGCATTTGTCGCAGGTCAAAATACCACCTTTTTTGCACTTATTACTTCCCCCCGAAACATTGACATTTGCATTTAACAATAGACAAACAGCTCTCAAAAACCATGCAATTTTAAGAAAATTGAAATATGTATTCCTAACCTTTAACCAATTCTTTAGCTGACCCGTAATAATTAACTTTAATAATTATAATAATAATACTAATTAAATTAGTAGTAATTAAATTTATGTTTAACAAGTAGACAAATAGTTGTGCAAAATCATGAAATTTTCATGAATTTTCGCTAAATCCAAATATTTCTCCTATTTTTGCAGGACATTCCTCCTCCCCCTCCATCTTATCCCACGCCCCTGGACAAATCGTCTTCCCCTCCGATTACGACGACGAGCAGGAAAATCCCGGTGTCGAACACCTCCAAACCATCGAGGACGACGGGTCCATCCTCTTCACCCGCCGAACGGGCCGCGTCCTCACAAATTCCACCCAATCAAAAACCAACGCCACCTCAAAATCCGCTTCCACTTCCTCCGAAGAAAACGGATCCTCCCGCAAAGCGTCCCCCGACGTGCAAGACATTATCGACGGGATTGTGAAACTTCTCGGGGGCAAGGTGCACAATGGGACCCCGCCGAATCAAAATTCCCCCCCGGGTGGAAGACCCCTCACCTCCCCCAATCCGTACAACCTCTTCAACCCGACGAAACCCTTCTTCCCGCCAAAGCTCCCGCCACCACAGACCCCGAAACCGACCCGGATCAACAACCGGGGGCCTGTTTTACCCGGGCAACAGCAACACCAAAACCTTGACCAACAATCCTCCTCCTTCGAAGCGATCCCGATCGAAGCCCTGTCCGAATTCAATTTGGATAACGGATCCAATTTCGGTCCGCCATTTCCCATCAGTGGAAACGGCGGGGGTGTAATTCAACCGAATTACCCGGGTGGTTCTGGCGGCGGTGGGGGGAATCGTATCGAACCCCCGTATAAACAAGGGGTACCTCTACCGGAAATGGTTGTACCCCAGGGGGGACAATATCCCCCAGGGAGTAACAACAATAATCAGCAACAACAATTTTACCAACCACCCCAGCAGAATTACCCTCCCGGCGGTGGGAACTATCCTAGCGGGAATTATCCGGGTGGGAATTATCCCCCCGGGGGGAACTTTCCAAATCAAAACCAGTACCAAAAACAGCCCCCTACCCGCTACCAAATCGTGCCCAACACCGGTTTGCCTCCCACTCAACCATCCTACAATCCCTTCGGATTTGAGCATCCCCACCCCAATACGACTCCCGCCTCAAATTCAAATAACCCGCCACCTTCCACCCATCTCCTCCCACCCCCCGTGAGTAAACGACCCGTCATAAAATTCCCGACGGATGGCGACAATTTAGAAGACGATGAGGCGGAGGAGGCGCGATTCACGACGCCAAAAGTACCCCCGCAAAGGATCAGTCCCACCCTAGCGTCGTCCGTGGGGGGCGGCGAGTCCTCCGTGTATCCAACCCTGCTACTTTCCTCCAACAAGAATAACGGGCTGGTCGAACTGGTCACGGAATTTACTGAGTCGACGAGCAGTTCGTCGACGGTGGAGTCGTCGAAAGTGACGACATTGACGACGACGACCACCACTTCACCCGGGACAAATAAGCCCATTTTTTACCCGAATAATTCCTACAGAACGACGACGACGACGACAAATCCTCCTCCAAAGTCGACAAATATGTCGCCAACGACGTCGCCCACCTCGTCGACCAGTCCAGACTTGAGTATTCATTCACTTCCGACTCCACCCTTGCGACCAGGTACATATAATTTTTTTTTTTACCAAACTACACACATAAAATTTAGATTGAGACGTATCTCATCTCATCTTTTCATCTAAACTAAAAGTGATGCTGTTTCTTAATAATGATGATGATTTCTTCTTTCTTCTCGTAATAATTACCGAGACGATTTGATGGGCACGCAAAATTTAAGACACGCAATGCAATGGTCGTCACAAAAAAAAAACGATGGTGGTGTATTACTACTTGCCTAACCTAACAAAACAAACACTTGGTTTGCTTCGTGAGACTAATTTGGGTGCATTTTTTGCACACTTATAAGTACATACTGCACAACGTATGTATGTTTTACTTATCTGCTGCCCAGTCAAGTCGTATCATATCAAGTTCCTTACTTAATACCTACGTTACTTAACCAATTAGTTCGAGTTACGTTGAGTTTTTTTTTGGCGTGTCGGTTTTTGCTTAAAGTCATTGACTTGACTTGGTCTTAACTTTTGCGAATTGAGTAACTACATAATTCGCAAAAGTAATGCATTTTGTATTTGATTTCATTTCGGGAATTCTGATAAGCGATTTGCGAATTGAGTCATTTCCATTTTACTTATTTGACTTCTTCATAACTTTTGCGAATTGAGCAAGAAATTCGCAAAAATGACGCATCTTACCGTATTTGATTTCGGGAATTATGAATGATAAACAATTTACGAATCGAGTAATTTACATTTTGACTTCTTAGCTTTTTGCGAATTTCGTTCGTACATAATTCGCAAAAATGACACATTTTATATGATTTCAGGAATAATGATAAACGCTATGCGAATTGACTTATTTACATTTTTCTCATCTATTTCCAGGCATCGTGATAAGCGACGTCCCCTCGCCCCCACGAACGCCCGGTGGCGTCGGGAGCGTCGAAGTCGTCACCGCCGACGAAGGTCACTCCCTCCTCGGTTCTGGTATCGGTCAAATCGGCGACATTTTCGACGTCACTGTCACCGCCAAACAAAATTACGGCGGTGGTGGGGGCAGTACCATTTCCCCCTTCAGCCCCCCCATCTCCTCCGAAGACGAGGTCCTCACCGCCCCCAAAGGCACCGAACAATTCGTCTCCATCGACGGAAAACGGACCTATTTCAACCTCCATCCGAACACGGCATCAACTGCGCTAAGCCCGACCCGACCGACACAAACCGTCACGGGGACAAGTGCCCCCCCACCACCCCCGCCCCCACAAATTTCCGGTGGGGGGAACATCGGCGTCGGCAGTGTCGGCGCGCCGGTCCCGCTGTTACCTCAACCTCCCGGAAAAACCCTGTTCAATTCGGGCACCCCGATAAGATCGACTTCTTTGAGTATCAGTGGCGGGTCTAGTGGAGGGGCCCTGTCGGATAAGGGCCTCATTTCAAAAACCCCGCCGAACATAATTCGGCGCCCGTTGACAAGGAGGCCGTCCGTGCCGCCGGTGCGGATCGACACGTGCATCGTGGGGGACGATTCGACCTGTAATTCCGACGCGGCGGAAGTTTGCCGAACGGAGAATGGCGTGTCGAGCTGCATTTGCCGGCCGGGTTTTGCGCGGCGCCGGCATCGCGAACCGTGCAAGGCGATTTATAGTCTTATCTTGTCGATTAAGTTGGATAAGTTGGGGGATAAGAAGTTAAATTATGATCCGGATTATTTCAACCCGAGTTCGGAAACGTATCAGACGATTGAGTGGGAAACGATACATGCGGTGAGGATAAAATTTGAAAAAATTAAAATTTGGAATTTTTTGTAGGGTGTGATTTCCGATAATGTTTTTTTTTTGATAAATTTATATTGTTAATGGAGACAGATATTCATTCCGGAGTGTATTAATTTGAGTATTTTTTGGATTTATTAAAAAAGTTTTGGAAAGTTTTGCCAATTTTTGCCTGAGTGCTTTTTTAATCGATTATGGGAATGCTTAATTATTAAAAATTTCCCAAAAATTCATTCCATTAGAGCGATAGAATTTTTTTAAATTATGTAAATTTTTATGTAAAGTGTAATTTCAAATAAAGGATTTTTTGATTAATTTGTAATTTAATTTAAGTTAGATACAAATGAAGGCATTGAACATACATTCATATGCATTGAATATACATTCAGGTCTCCTTTAGGAGGCTTATCCACTTTTCTCTGAAATGAAGGTACCACTTTATGCAATTTTTCCGTTTTTGTTGTGGAAATGTGGAAATGTTTACAGCTTTAAAATATACTGATACTTTCAGATTATTCAAAATTTCAAAAAAATTCCAGAAATTTTCTCCCGAATAATTTACATAAATTTCTTTAATGTCTCCACAGTTTTTTTGCGATCACTTCAAATATGTAAATGTTTATAAGTTTGAAATATATATAATAATTCTATTCATATTATTCCAAATTTTAAAAAAAATCCGGAAATTTCCCCCTAAAAATTTACATAAATTTCTTTCTTGCTTGTCTCTCAGTTGGATGCTTCTCTCGCCGAAACGTCGCTGTCCCCAACGTACGTCGGCTCCAAACTGGACGCGATTGGGTTTGACGGGAAACACGCCGTGGTCAATGCGACCGTCCTTTTGCAAGAAAATGGCAAGCTGGCGCCTGCCCAGCTCAAAAAAGAATTGCAAAAACAAATGATCCAAGTCCTCACCAGACATCGTAACAACTTTGGCAAGTCCCAGCTTTGGGTGGAGGTACGTATGAAAATAAATTCATGCAGGTTTTCATGAAATGATATGAAAAATTCATGAAAAACATGCATGAAAATTTCTAACAACGCGACATCTTCATTAATCTTACATACATTTATATTCATGAAAATTTTGAATGAATTTTTAATTCTTAAGTATCGATAAATACGCAAAAACGCTACTTTCATTTTACGAATTTTGAATTTTAATATGTCCAGATAAAAAAAACAAAAACACTATAATAATTTGCAAGAATATTCATGCACATTTTGGACAAATTTTGAAATGCAAAGCGCAGATATTCATTTGTCATATTAATGAAAATTTTGAATGAATTTTGAATTTAGGAATGTCTGGAAACACAAAAACGCTATGTCAATTTTCATAAATACAGAATTCATGACAATTTTGGACGAATTTTCAATAATTAAATGTCATTTTGAATAATAAAACACCCAAAAAATGCAATATATTTCTCATTCCAGGGACCAATTTCCGCCGTCTCTGCAATCACTGGTATGTACATACATACATATTTCATAAAAATTCCCCAAAATTTTGAACAATTTTCTTACCTCAACTTTTTTTTTTAATTTTAGACGTCAACGAATGCGACGACGGCGAATTGAACGACTGTTCCTCCAAGGCTGACTGCATCAACACGTTTGGTTCCTTCGAGTGTCGCTGTTTTCCAGGATACGGCGACGCCTGGGAGCACGATAAGCGACGAGGTGGTCGAAAGTGTGATAGCTGCTCGGGAAAAAGTTACTGCAACGGAAGGGGAGAATGTCTCATCGATAATGGACACAAAGTTTGCAAGTACGTGTAAAAAAATTAACATCAAAATTCGCACATTTTTAATCATTTTTCTCCTCTGGGAATTTATTTTAAAATTCTGAACGACAAATTTGTAGTCAGTGAGTTGATTGATGGAATGGCGTTGAGTTTTTTGAGGCAGTTTCGACGAGTTCCAATTTTTCTGGAGGCTTCTTAAACTTGAGATCTCCTCCTTCAAAAAGGGGCAAAATCTGGAGTGTATATTTCTTAAAAAATTGGGAACGACCTCTGCTCTACAAATTTGTCGTGCAGAATTTTAAAATAAATTCCCAGAGGCGAGAAATGATTAAGAATGTGCTGATTTTGGCGACGAATCATAGAGTCCTACGTAAACGAGAATGTATTTGTAAAGTGTGCAAAATTGTAAATTGACAAATTGTGTAAAGTGCAAAAAATGCTAATTTTTTCCCCAACTTTCTCTCCAGATGCGCCGGAAATTACTACGGTTCCCAGTGTGACATTGACGGAGAAGTTTTGGCCGTCGCGATTGGCGCGTCCGTCTCCGCTGTGGTCATTATCGGCCTCACTTTGGCCTGTTTGTGCATGTGGAGGTAAAACACAAAATTGCAAATTTTATGCAAATCCATGACTAACAATTTTTTGCATTTTTTTGCTCTTTTTGCAAATTCAGCCGGAAATGGAAAAAAGAAGAGCAGAAAGCGGCCCTCATGTCGCGCACCTTATTCGGCGGGATGGCCAACCAAGCCCTGAGTTATTTGGGGGGCCAGAAAACCAACCCCTACCAGCAACACGTCACGATGGATGAGCGCTTGAGATGGGCGCAGGTTGCGGAATCAAACATGACGGGAAATATTTATGTGGTGAGTCGCATGTGCAAAAAATTTTGGCAAAAATTTTGCAAATTAATCCTTAATTTGTTTTCTGTTTAAATTAAAACTCGAGAAATTTCTGTAAACTATAAACAATGTTGGCCAATTTGCAATTAAATTAATCCTTAATTTATTTTCTCTCTTTAAATTAAAATTCGCAAAATTTATGCACAAATTTTGGCCAGAAATTCCTCCAGTTTGCTCCAGTTAATCCCTAATTTGCTTTTTGTTTAAATTCAAATTCAAAAAATGTGTGCAAAAAAATTTGGCCAGAAATTCCTCTAATTTGAAAATTAATTAATCCTAATTTACTTTCTCTCTTTACATTAAAATTTGAAAAGGGCAACAAAAATTGGCCACAAATTCCTCCAATTTGCAATTTAATTAATCCTTAATTTGTTTTTCCCTTTTTAGCAAAATGATGGCGGGATGAGCATGCCATGCGGAATGGGCGGTCAGCAGCTCATGGACACTCCGCCCATGATGGCGCGACGCTCCGCGGACACCGTCGACACCACGGTCGACGATCTTTTCGACGAACGGGGCGGTGGTCCTAGTACAAAAAGACCGAGGAGCAGGGCATCACAAGTATGCAAATAGTGCAAAAAATTCCTTACCAAAATCATAGACAAGTTTTTAACAAGTATTTTCGGTTTGGAAATGCGTTTGCAGACATTTTTGGTTAAAAATCCACCGAAAAACAAGAACTGTTTTTTTAATTAAAATAAACCCTGCGAATTAAAAAATTTTCATAATTTGATTGAGAGCGTGCACAAAAAAATTGAAATTTTGAAATTTTTACCTTTAATAACTTTTGAACGGGCCAACTTCATTTTAGTTTTGAAAAAAATCTAACTTTTAGGTGTTTTTTACTAGAAAAATATTTCACAAACCGATAGCACATGTTAACACCTTATCTACCATATGCAACATCTCAGAAAAAATGCTTATCCATTCTCTCTCTTTAGTTTCAGGGTGGTTCCATCTACTACGATTTGGAGCCGGATCAGACCGAAATCTACGCATCCCGCTCGATGATGCACTTCCCTCCCCCGCCGGCACAATTCTGCGTACCGATGACCCCCATGGGTCACTACGCCCAACAAGGTCGCGGCGGCTTCTATTCTTAGCGGCAGAAAACAAAAATTCGCTAAAAAATAAATTCGCGAAAAGATGCAAAACAACTACAAAACGTTCATTTTTTCATATTGGATCATTATCAAGAAATATTTACAACTACATATTTTTAATGATACGATAACCGACTGCAGATCACGAGATGCCATATTTACACTATTTTTAAGACAATTAAACTGCGTAATTAGTTAATTATTTAGTTAATTGTATGTACAGTTAAAAAAATGGTTTTGTTTTTGTTTATACGATTTTTTTTTGTTAAATATTTATTCACGTTTTTAATTATACAACCAACGAAATTTATAGGGGTAAACTTTTTGAGTCTTTTTTAAGGTGTGTTTTTTTAATATTTACGACATAATTTGCGCCCATGTAATAAATAGTTTAACTATGGCGCAAATTGCGAATTACTTTTCAGTCGATTATTTAAATAAAAAACGGTACGTTCCAATCCACCGGGTTTAAAAAGGGGATAATTTTTGACAATGCAATCTTAAAATGGATGACAAATTGTAATAAAAAAAATTTTATTGTAAAAATTCAAACTCGGATTTACTTCATGTAAAAATTAAATATGTAAATTATGAACGTATTATTTATATACACATTCATCATCAACCTGCCAAAAATTAACAAATAATCTGATTTAGACTTTCGTTAAAAATTCGCTAACTAAAAAAATCACATTTGTCACTAAAGTCTGCAAAAGTTTTTATTTTAATTTACAATTTCGTCAGAATTTTCTCAAGTTTATGGTGGAAAAAAATCATACCTTTGTAGCTAAAAAATGTCAAAAACTTGGCAAATCTTCTGATTTAGAACTTTAAAAAAATCCCTTTTTGTCACTAATTATACAAAATTTTAAATCGCATTAAGAATTTCATCATAATTTAATTGCTTAACAAGAAAAAATCACTTCTTCTACAGATACATATATAAGCACTTTTTATTAGTTTTCGATGTTAGTTAAAGTCGAGTGAAGTAATGGCGAAAATTTTTTGCAAGTTGCGGGAGGAAGGATGTTCATGTTCCACCATGGTTTCCTTTACAGGTGGGCGACGAAGCAGAAAAGTGTCCGTGGTACGAGTCAAGCCATGCTTTCCATACGTTTCGATAGCTTCTGCATTATCGGTGAAAGTGTCCAAAGTGACCGGACCTCCTCCTTCCACTTGACTCAGTAATCTGCATTTTAACGTTATGCATTTAGGACTCAATGTCAAAATCAGCACATTTTTAATCATTTCTCTTCTCTGGGAATGTATTTAAAAATTCTGGACGACTAATTTGTAGAGCAGAAGTTGCTGCCAATTTATTTAAAATATATACTCCAGATTTTGACCCTTATTGAAGGAGGAGATCTCAAATTTAGGAAGCCTTCAGAAAAATGGAACTCGTCGAAACTGCCTCAAAAAGCTCGACGCCATTCCATTAATCAACTCACTGACTACAAATTCGTTGTCCAGAATTTTAAAATAAGTTCCCAGAGCCGAAAAATGATTAAAAATGTATTGACTGATTTTGGTGATGAGTTATCAAGTCTTTCGTTCAGAATAAGTAATGTAGACATTCATAAAAACACATGAACATGAAAAAGTGAGTCTGCAAATATGTTGCAACCTTTGTAATGATAATGCAAATGCAACATTATCATTCCAAAGGTCAAGGGATTCAACTACATAGATTTAGTTTCATATGAAGCGTATTATATAAGTAGCAACTCGCCTCTCATGGTTGTCCAAACCATGACTTAGTGTGCAGGTAGAGATCATGCATGACAAGGGTTACTTCTGTGCGTGGGATAACAACTTATCTTGGGTTTTCTTGTTATAAATATGATAATCAACTATCATTTTATATGTATATAATAAGAAAAGTTAAGATAAGTGCAAATTCAACGCATGAAGTCGATCCAAAGATAGAAAATAAGATCATCAGGATTAGGCCCGACTTTATGCGTGGAGTTTTAACTTTTACTTAGTTTTCTTGTTAAGAATATATTATTCAAGTATCATTCTATATGTATTTAACAAGAAAAGGTTACATAGGTCAAGATTCCACGCACTGGATTGATCCGAAGACAAAAGGTTAGGAATCGTGACGTGTTAGGCAACTTGATCACGAAGGGGAGAATAAGATAGGGATGAGGAGCATAGGGTGGTAGCAGCGCTACAAGCACTCTACGTCATCATAGGTTATAACACAGCATGTATATATAGCGTAAGCAGAGGAGTGAAGAGGGAGAGTTCTCTTTCAGACACGGAACGAGCAAGATAGGTAGGCAACCATCAAGGTTATTTATTGTATATAATTTCAGGAATATTGAACCCTCTTTTCTGCGTTCAATTTTTAGAAATTTAAGATTTAGTTGTTCAAAAGCTATAGGTTAAGTTCCCTTCTAGATAAAGTTAACAAATATAAATATATAAATTAGCTCTCCCACGCATAAAATAGTTCTTTATAATTAAATCAATATTTTTCAGTCGGTATTGATATAAATAAATATATTTATAATTTCTCTAAAAGTGAACTTCTACAAATTATTCGCACAAAAGTCATAAAATAAGGGGCACCCACGAAAGTGGGTGTGGACAGGGACACGCAAACCCCATAGTTAGAACAGGGGGCGTTACAATGTGGTGCTAGAAACCCTCCTTAAGTGACAATTTATGAAGCAAAATTTAATCTACGAAATCGTCATAAAGTGAATAAAAGTGCAAGAACAATTTTGACAATTCGTGCAAAACAATCTGGAAAGCACATCAAGTGAAAGTCTAGATAAAAGTTTCCTGTATATTTCTACGCCCTTCAACATCATGGATGGGATACTTCAATTCCTCGGTTTTGTCGACAAGACCGCACTTTCTTCCATCCATGGAAACGTGACCTCGGAGAAAACGGCGTCCCTCAAATCATCATCATGGTGGCATGGGTCGTTTCTCTTTACCATGGAAGTCTTCGGAATCGCTGCAGTCATTCTCTTGATGGGTATTCTCGTGAATAAGTTGGTAACGAAATATGTTTTACCTTATTTACCTTCTTGGATGTTTCCACGGTTTGAGGCCGTGAATGCTATTCGTAGACGCAGTAAAATAGGGAACCACTTGCAAAATCTTAGTAAGGATCTAGACATCATTTTTGCTGCTCAAAATAAAAATCATGATCAGTTTGTAAGAATTAAGCACATTTTTGATTCCTTAACTTCCGAAATTGCTCAAATTTTTCTATTAACTTCGAGTCATCAAAATTCGCAATTAAACGAGAAAACTGACTCATTGTGGGTTCGGGTTAATAGCCTTGAAGTTAGGGTCAAACAACTCTTGTTAGATTTTGAGATTCGGTGTCAAAGTAGACATGAGTCGGTAGGACAATTGGTATCGCAACAGGTCGCTTTGCATAATTCTCCTTATCCTGATCCTGTCCTTACTGGTCTCATTGGGCATGACTATCCCTACCTTCAACAAGCCAATATCCCTTTTCAAGATTATGTAGATGCAAAAATCAATAACCTTGGGAAAGCCATAGGAAAGCATAAACAGCATTTAGCATCATGCATACAACAAGATCATGTTATCATTGAAAAGGAGATGGGAAGATTTCAAGATTTCATGAAGGCAGCCTTTGAACAAGAAGTTAAATGGATTCACCAGCAGATGCAAGTTATGGAGCTCACAATTCAGAAGCAAGAGCACGCAATTGAAGCTCAAAACAGCGTCATCCAGACATTGTCCAATGCAAATCCAAAGGTTCAAACTCCTTCCAAGGACATGATACCCACGCCACAGGTTCAAGGTGACCCTTCTTCAGGCCTGGAGCTTCTTGTCCCTCCACCATTGCAATTCTTATCTGATCCTCCACCACAAATCGCCCTGCCTCCAAATGAGAACAAAGAAGACGAGATTCCGGCATGGTGCATTTCTCGACCTCAAATTATGGGGACAAAAGAGGAAGAAATTCCCATGAATCCCACAACTACGATCATGCAAACCCCTTCTTCCTCCTCAGGACCGGTTTTATTTCACTCTGTAGGCAATATTCCCCCTCCAAAGTTCAACCCCAACATTGATTCAGCCGAGAATTTCATAATGGAACTTGAGAACCACATGGAGAGGAAGCGCTTTCTTCGGAAAGATTGAATTCTTTCTCTTCCTGCAGTATTCAACCAGGATCCAAATCAATCTTTGTGGTGGCAACGGACCAAGCTGTTCGCACGCACATGGGATGACTTCAAAACGCATTTCATCACCATGTACGCGTCCAATTCAGATCTTCATACCGCTTTGGAAAAATTACTTTTACGCAGACAGAAGGATAACGAACCATTTCAGAAATTTGCATTCGAAATGGACCTCCAGTACAGAAAAGTCTACCGGATGACAACAAATACGAAGGAAGCGGAAATTGTCGCCTTTATTGCAGAACGAGCCCTCCCGTATTTAAAAGCAAATCTTCTCGCAAGTCGTGCTGACACCAGGGTTGCAGAAATCTCATCTCACCCTCGTAAATCTCATCTCACTGAGATATAATGAGAAATAGTGAGACATGAGAAATATGAGATTTAGTGAGATTTATGAGCCATGCACTAGCGCCACCTAGCGGACGTGGTCATGAACTACAAGTTTATCTCATTATTTCTCATATTTCTCACTCAGCCCCAAGTGAGATGATTGATATATATCATTAAATCTCACTAAATCTCACTCAGTGATATATATCACTTGTAACCCTGGCTGACACTGTGGTGGACTTGATCAACTACGCGTCCAAAATTGAGCGTCCTTTGCAAGATAAATCCAACCACAGTCAGAATAAATTCAAGTCCTGGCAGAAAAGTGAAAAGAAAGCGGATTCGCATCAAGCAAACTCTGCTAATTCCAGACAAAGTTCCCCATCAACCTCGAATAATGGACAACAACAACAACCACAACAACATCAACAGCAAGTTGCACCTTCCCGACAACAAAGTCGACCGAAAGTTTGCACAAACTGTCCCCATCTTTCCAACCACACCACGCAGAATTGTCGTCGTCGTCAGCAACAACAAGTGAATTGTGGTCAAAGGAGTGATCAACACTCTCAACCCCAGCAATCACAAGATTCGACGGGAAACGGGCGGAGGGAGTAACCATCCACGGATTTGTGGTTACTCATCCTCTCATTCAAGATCCCAGACGACTTATTCCTATCCTTCCTATCACTTTCCCTTCCTGTAAATTAAATGCATTAGCCGATACCGGTTCAACAATTTCTATTGTTACTTTAAAATCACTTAGGAAAGTTTTAGGGAAAGGATTTTCTGTAGAAAAGTGGGTGGATGGACCAGTTATCATGCTAGATGGTACTGAGTCTCTTCCTTCAGGTGTAATAACATTAAAATTTAAATTAGGTACTAGAGAATATGCTCATACATTTGCTGTCATGAGCAGTTCTAATGAGATGCTTTTGGGTATGGACTTTCTCCACAATTGTGGGTTAGTTTTAGACGTAGGCTCACTTGAGTGGGGGGTTTCTGACTCGTTTCCAAGCGAAAAGTCCCCACTCACAGTCAGCAAAGTCCATAATTCCAACTGCAATTTACAATTAGTGAGTGAGTTCGAAACCGACGAACTGAAGGGGGGCGTTACAATGTACATACTTAAGCAAAATTGCCTCCGCGATTCCCGCAGATTTGGCGTAGATGGGCCCCACCCTGGTTGAAAAGGTCATCGAACGAAGTGCCCCCAAGCCCAACATTTCTCCAGCTTCTCCCACCACGAGGAAAACACCATGGTTGGTTTTACCCTTGCTAAACTGCGCCCAGAATCCGGGACGGTACGAACCACTCAGAGTGGCGTCGAATTGCGCTATTTTCTCCAAATCGGTGTTAGGATTCATGGCTTTAACTGCTATGTTTACGAATTCTAGGAAAATTTACATACGTATGTAAATAAATATACAAGCATATCATACACTCTAAATAATCCGGTAAAGTCACACAGGAAATGATTTCTCGGTAATAAATTTGGTAATAATATTTTACCAGGTGGTAAAAATTCGTCACTATGATGGTAAAACTTTATTACCAAGCCATTACCACACGGTACAACTTATCATTACCACTTTGGTAGAGTCATATACTTGTGCTTTTCGGTAATGTTAGATTATTTACAGTGTACTCTCTTGTTGGTCACAATAATTTCCACCAACTCACAATGTAGGGGTCTCTGGGTATGTTCTCAGATTTTGAGCAAACTAGTCTGAATTGATGACAAATTTAATTAGAATGAAGTTTGCGAAAGATACGATCTCCCAATCAGTTTGGCCTTAGATATTTGCATCCGAAGAGGAGAAAACGTACAATAAATTTGGAAAGTGCAAAATTTGCCAACTTCAGGGCACGTTTTCTCCTCTTCGGATGCAAACATCTCGGCCAAACGTGCCCATTTGGAGATCGTGTCTTTCGCAAATTTCATCCTTATTAAATTTGTAATCGATTGACACGAGTTTGCTCAAAATCGGAGAGCATACGCTGGGAGACCTCCATTCTAAGTGCTGTATTTGTAATTTATTAAGTCGCGTGAGCTCTACTTTCACTTAATATTTCCCTTGAATTTGCCCGAATTTTAACTTCATTGTTACCTTTCCTTTCGGATAACTTGGCGTCCTCCAACGTTGTCGGGCGACTCATGCGGAATGCTTTTCGCTCCACGTGAAACCCTAAATTTTCATAGAACGGGACCTCTTCGACTGCAGAGTAGAGCGCCACACCGAGACCGCAGGCGGCGAGGTGATTGTCCAGCGTGTGTCGCAGGAGCGCGGTCCCGACCCCCTGCCCACGCCACTCCTTCCCCACAATGACATATCCGATGTGACCAATTCCGCTGGGGTACTCGGTGCTGTACAGCTTACCCACCACCACGTCCCCAATCTGCAATTTTGAACATATACAAAATATGTATGTATCAGTGTTTCTGCTGTTAAATAACAACACCTGCACGAAATTAGTGAACGAAATTGTTTTTAAACGTTTAATAACACTCACTAAAAATCCGAAAAAGCTCATGAAAATGCACAAACATAATTTACATGCAACTATGTAATATTGGAGTAACGCAATTTTTCTAAATATTCGATTCGATCGGTGTTAAGTAGTGATCTCAACGGTTCTCGGTTCTCATAGAACCGAACCGGAACCGATGGCTCGGTTCGGTTCCGGCTTATACGGAGAACCGAACCGAACCGAAACTTTTATTACCGGTTCGGTTCGGTTCCGGTTCCAAGTCTTAGAGAACCGAACCGAACCGGCCGGTTCGGGTTGAACCGAACTACATACATAAATACATTAGCGAAGTTGATCATATTTCCGAAAAAGTTTTACGAATTTCCCGAAATACACCTAGTTTCCAAAATGAAATTTTGACGTGGCCGTACCTCCAAAGTTCCCAAAATGAAATTTTGACCTGGTTACAGTTACATCCACAATGTTTGCAAAACCAAATTTGGACTTGATGACACCTCCAAAGTTTCCAAAATGAAATTTTCACCCCCAAAGTTTCCTAAACGCAATTTTTACCCCCAAAAGTTTCCGAAATGAAATTTTGACGTGACTGCACCCCAAACTTTCCAAAATGAAATTTTGACTTGGTTACACCCCCCATGTTTCCAAAATGAAATCTTTACTTGGTCACACCCCAAAGTTTCAAAAATGAAATTTTGACTTGGTTACACCCCCAATGTTTCCAAAATGAAATTTTTACTTGGTCACACCCCAAATGTTTCAAAAATGGAATTTTGACTTGGTTACACCCCCAATGTTTCCAAAATGAAATTTTTACTTGGTCACACCCCAAAGTTTCCAAAATGGAATTTTGACTTGGTTGCACCCCAAACTTGGAATTGTTTTCTAACTTCAATAATACATACATAAGTGGTTTTGCTGTTGACATGTGTTAGAATTTGCTTGTTTAAATACAGATAAGTTATTGGCTTGCATGTGAAATTTCATCAGAAACACGTGAATTAGCATTGTTTGTTGTTTATTGCATATTAATAACACTACCGGTTTGACCCGAACCGCCGGTTCGGTCACGGTTTGGTCCGGTTCCGGTTCGGTTCCAGCTAAAAAAAGTTCGGTTCTGTTTCGGTTCTTCAATTCTGGTTCCCGGTTCCAAACCGGTTCTTCCAAGAACCGAACCGAACCGCACCGTTGAGCCCACTAGTGTTAAGTATTTAAGATATTTTCCTCCTCATTTTAGTGTAAAAATATTTTCCATTTTTCAGTACGAAAAATGAATCAAAGTTTTGAAAATGAAAATTGATGGACACAAATTAAATTTCTACCGACCGACCCAGCTATCTTTTAATACAGTTACAATCTTTCATTTCCAAACATACTCATCTTTGGCGTCGAACTGGTTCATTTCGAAGTCATAGTATACGTTAAACTTTTTCGAAAATGATCACATAATTGGACCAGATTCGGATGCTGTACTACACGGTATTATTTATCGGTATCACGTGGGTAGAGTCACATATGAATACCGCCTGGTATTTTAATACTGGATTTCTAAGAGTGCGCCCTCCGGTCAGTATTGATTTAATCCCAGTTTTCTAAGTGTGTATATTTATTTGCATATATGTAAATATTGTACCTGTGCAATCAGCCATCCTTTCGGATAGGATGCGAAGTAGGTGGGTGCGTCCTGTGACATGTTCCACCCCTCGGCCAACCCCCACTCGATGTACGACGCCACGTCGGATGCCACCGCGTCCCGTATCACCAGCTTGCTTCCCATTGTTGGCAAATTTTTCAAGAAATTATTGACGACGAACTTCGCAAATGCGCAAAATAACAGATGATTGTCACAACCCTGAACTTGCACATACCTGTCTGTTCAAGTGTGAATAATTATGGGACGAATTATCTGTCCCAGTTTGATTGCAATTTATGTAATTTATACATGTTAATTAATCCAATATGTATTTTATGACCAGTATTTACATGGAGAATGGAATGATGCAAACAGCTCGCCAAGTTGCTCTTTTTAGCATGAATAGGTACGATTTATTCGCACGAATTACATAACATATGTACAGCGATAAATTTCAGTAGTGTGCAAATATATGTATATATTTCCTTCATATGTTTCTTACATACATGTTTACATATATATATGTGACGAGTGATTTTCAATTCAAAGAAATTGTAGCTGCTAGTACGTATTTACTTACATTGTCGCTAATAAATTGTGAAATAATTTGAAAACTGATTTAAAATTTGGTTAATTTCATTTTTACGATACGAAAATAAACACATCTTTGTTGCTAAAACTGTGGACAAAATTTTTAAATCTTATTTCGAATTTCATGTTTAACAACAAAAAATCAAATCTTTGTCGCCAAACTATCAAATTTTTTTTGATCTAATATCATAAATTGTATGCTTAACAAGAAAAAACACATATTTGTTGGTAAAACTGTATGCAAAATTATTTAATCTAATTTAGAATTTCGTCAATTCCATTCTTCCATTCTTCTTAATAAAAAATAAATATCTTTGTCAATAAACTGTCAAAATAATCAAATCTGACCTAAAAATTTCGCCAATTTCATATTCAATAAGAAAAAAATCACATTTTTGTCGCTAAATTATGCAAAATTTCAAAAGTCAGGTCCAGAATTTCGTCATAATTTTGTACTCATTTTGTCAGAATTTATTCAAAATTTTAACATAATCTCCGACAAAATTTTAAATCTAACTGTATCATTTTACAATAACAAAAGTCAAATTTGTCGCTAAATCGTCACCAATTTTTTTCTTAACCTTCCAACTTTTTATTATTATCAACCTGCTACATACTTATCGAAACCGGCTTCACATAACATCATTTTACAGTAAAAACAGTACCATCATCACGACACGTTTGACAAGAAGAACAAACAAAACGAGTCAATTCAATGTCACATTCTTTCAAAAATTCATTACGTTTTTTTATTATTACTCAAGTCAGGTCAGCTTGAGTGACATGAATTTGTGTGTATTTAGTAAAGTAGGTAAACCGGCGTTTTTAGTGAACTTTGTCTCCTAATTGAATTCAATATTACGCAGCATTCATCAATTTTTTAATTAATAATTTAATTATATAAAGATAAGTAATAAAATATTTATTTATAAATATATAGCTCAAAGTAAACCTATCTATGAGAGATGGCTGACGCCTTATGACACAATCACGTCGTTTCATCCTCGTTCAATATTTATAATCCAGAGTTAAAAATACACGGCAAATTATTAATTCAATTTCATTTAATGTCGACTCAATACCACATTTATTGCTCTAATCTTATTTAGTTGCTGCATGGGTTCTCTGGATTACTTGGTCGATCTACTTTCAACGAGAGCAATAAGCAGTTCAAAATCGCATGCATCGGCAGGAACAATGGACGACAAGAAAATTGAAAAGGTAGACGGTGGGCTGGCTGCATAAAAAATTTAACTGGAATTAAGGCAACATGGTTAATTTTGGGCTAAAGTGTCAAATTCATAATTTTGACTACCGTAGTTTCATAATTTTGTCCATATTTTCTTAATTTTGTATTCCCAGCCGAATTTTGTCCATATTTTTGTAATTTCGCCATTATTTTCAAAATGTCAATATTTTCTTAATTTTGTCCTTATAAATTCTTAGCCGAATTTTGTCCATATTTTTGTAATTTTGCCATTATTTCCAAAATGTCAATATTTTCTCAATTTTGTCATTGTATATTCTTAGCCGAATTTTGTCCATATTTTTGTAATTTCGCCATTATGATATTTCAAAAATGTCCATATTTTCACAATTTTGTCTCTTTTATGAGTGAGTTTTATAAACCTTGTGAGCCGTTTGTGAATTTTTGGAATTTGTATGATTATATAACTTTGTCAGATGTTTTGACTGCATCATAATAATACCTTAAACTGACCATTGTCTCAATTTTCCCGGGGCACAAACTCGTGATCTTTTGTCCAATAATTTATTTCACAACTTAATTATAATTAAATTCTAAATGACTCTGAATCATACGTGTTCACCTTCATTCATTTGATTGATTATGATACTTAATAAAAATGAATTTCCTGCCGTTTGAATGAAAATGAATGAAGGGTTCCGTCATTCCAGATGAATGACTGTGAATGAAAGGATTTCTCACTCATTTCATTTTTCACCATATGCTTAATACATGGGTCGAAGCAAGAAATGAAGTCTGATGAAGTGAAATGAATTTGAACGAAAATGACTGAATATGAATGAAAGTCTTCACTCAGAAATCTGGATGACTGATTTTTGAAAGAGAACTAAATTTTAGAACAGGTATGATTTTGTCCATATTGTCATAATTTTGTCTTTATATTTAGCAGTTTTGGAGCAATTTGTGAATTTCCGGATTGCATATGATTACTCAATTTTGTCAGATTTTGTAGTCCCACAGTATACAAATACGACCCAAAATACTAAATAGACACTTGCCTCAATTTCCCCGACACAAATTCTGGATCAAATCTGTTCAATAAAACTTTTTTCATTCAAAGTTCAGTTATCCCTGTTTCTGACTGAAGATTTTCATTCACACTCATTCATTTTCTTTCAAATTCATTTCATTTCACTTCATTGGACTTCATTTCTTACTTCGCCCCATGTTCTAAGCACAGGGTGAAAATCATTCTCAATCATAATCAGTCGCATGAATGAAAGTGAACAGGTATGCTCGGGATATGTTGACCAATTATGTTTTCCACAAATTAACTAGGCTTAAATTCTAAATGACTAGACAAAATTTAGGACGACAAAATTTAGGACGACAAATTTGCCGTCAGTGAGTTGATTGATGGAATGGCGTCGAGTTTTTTGAGCCAGTTTCGACCAGTTCCAATTTTTCTGAAGGTTTCTTAAACTTCAGATCTCCTACTTCAAAAAGTGTCAAAATCTGGAGTGTATATTTTCAAAATATTGGGAACGTCCTGCTCTACAAATTTGTCGTCCAGAATTTTAAAACAAATTCCCAGAGCGGAGAAATAATTAAAAATGTGCTGATTTTAACGATTTTCGTGATAAATCAAGGTAACGATTTTTAACGAAGAAAGGTTCCATTTTTAATAAGTTTATCAATAGAATGCCGTTGAGTTTTTGAGCCAGTTTCGATAAGTCCCAATTTTTCTGAAGGTTTCTTAAACTTGAGATCTCCTCCTTCAAAATGTGTCAACATTTTCAATCATTTCTCGCCTCTGGGAATTTATTTTAAAATTCTGAACGACGAATTTGTAGTCAGTAAGTTGATTAATGGAATAGAGATAAGTTTTTTAAGCCAGTTTCGATAAGTTCCAATTTTTCTGAAGGTTTCTTAACCTGAAATCTCCTTCAAAAAGTGTCAAAATCTGGAGTGTATATTTTCAAAAAATTGGAAACTCCCTCTGCTCTACAAATTTGTCCACCAGAATTTTATCGACTCCTCAGTTTTGCCGATCTATGTGGATTATCATTTTCCTCCGTAATAATATTATCACATCTCTGCACCCAACCACTTGCCGTTCGTCCTTTCGTTCATCGATCGCCACCAGCAGAAGTTGCCCAACAACTGGAATCTCGAAGCAAATAAGTCGACTAAATCTGGAAAAATCGAGAAAAATCTGGTTCTCAGAGTCAAAGTGCAATTAACTCGTCTCTCTCATGCGATGCGATAGTAAGAAATCCTGGTGGCAGCGTCGTATTTATCGACGGACGAGTCATGTGCTTAAAAAATTCAAGATTTCATTCCATCTTCTTCTTTGCCAGACGGGATCAAAAATTGGGTTTTATTTCATACAATGTATCACGTAAAAAGACGGGATGCATGCATGCAAGTCTCATTTTTCTCTATAAGAGCTTATCAACCTTGACATGCACGTATGCAATTTTCTACCAAGTTGCATAAAATTAGCGAAAAATAAGTTGGTCAAAAGGACACAAGTTTTTGAACTGGGGAAATTGAGACAGTTTGGACTTTTAAGTGAAATACTTTTCACAAAAGTAAAAAAAAAAGATTTTATAAATTCGCAAAGATGGTAAGATTTTGTATAAAAATGGGGACTAATTTCTGATAATATTAAGAAAAGATGGATAAGGAATTCAGATTTCAGATCATATTTGCCAAACGGGATCAAAAATTTTTATTTCGTACAATGTATTTAGTACTTATCGCGTAAAAAGACTGGATGTAAAAGTCTCATTTTTCTCTTTGATAAGAGCTTATCAACCTTGACATGCACGTATGCAAATTTTGATTAGTGTGTATAAAATAAAAGTCGTTAAAAATAAAGTTGGTCAAAAGGACACAAGTCTAAAGTTTTTGAACCGGGGAAATTGCGACAGTTTGCACTTTAAGGTAAATACTTTTAGCAAAAGTAAATACTACGTTATCTTATTTACAAAGTAATAAAAGTTGGCAGATTCTTTTTTTAAAAATGGGGAAAAATTTCTGAAAATATTCACACGTAATTTGCATACGTATTTATTTGCTTATCACGTAAAAGTACGGATTGAATGCATTCTTGTAAAAGTCTCATTTTTCTGATTTTTCCCTCTTGCTTATCAACCTTGACTTGCAAATTCTGCCATGTTATATAAAAATAGCTCTAAAAAGAGTTGATCAAAAGGGCATAAGTCGGGAAATTTTCGACATTTTGCAAACATACCTGTTCAAAGAAACTTTTTTCATTCAAAGTTCAGTCATCCCAATTTCTGACTGTAGATTTTCATTCAAACTCACTCATTTTCTTCCAAACCCATTTCATTTCACGTCATCTGACTTCATTTCTTACTTCACCCCATGTATTAAGCATAGGGTGAAAAATGAAATGAGTCAGAAATCCCTTCATTCACAGTCATTCATCGAAATCACGGAATCTTTCACTCATTTTCATTCAAATCACAAGAAATTCATTTTCATTCACTATCATAATTAGTCACATGAATGAAAGTGAACAGGTATGTTTGCAAAATACTTTTCACAAAAGTAAATACGTAGTCTTATTTCCAAATTCATAAAAGTTGGCTGATTCGTTTTAAAAAATGGATATACAATTTTTGCGAATATGTGTGATACATAAGTTTTACCTTGCTGCATTAAAAATTAGCGAAAAAAGCAAATCAGTCTAAATTTGTCAAAATTGCGAAAATTCGTAAGTAAATTAGTCCTGGACATATTCAGAACCTTTAATAAATATATTAATCGTAAATTCAAAAAAAAAATCATAAACGGCCCCCAAATCTAACTGAAAAAAATTTACTAAATAATTCTTTTAAAAAATATCGGATCCGTAATTTCTGCATAGAATTAGTGACAAAAACTTGGTAAAAATCGGGAAGATTGAGACAATAATTCTGGATATATTCATCTTAAAAAAATATATCAGGCCTACTTAAATTCCCCCAAAAAAACTCACAAACGATGAGTCATTCATTCTTTATAAAAATAGAATTATGGAAATGTCTGCCACATAATCTCAGGCATGCTGCATTAAATTAGGTAATAAAATAAAATAAAAATTGTCACAATTTATCTACAATTTCCTAATTAGATTTCAACATATCATCAAAATTATTAAATTAATATGGGATTAATATCAAATCTAAATCTAACAAAAAAATTCCACCACATCATTTTCCAAAATTCAACTCTCTCATAAATTGAGTCAAACATTCTTCACAAAAATAGGTACAAAATTCTGGAAATGTCATCCTTACATAAAATTAGCTACTAAAAATTGCTCAAAATTTAAGGAAATTGCGACAATTTGCAAATCAAGTCAATCCCAAATTTACATCAAATGTAACAAAAAATATGCCACTTCATTCATAAATTTCCAAAGCTCACAAAAAACTCTGACAAAAGTTGACTCATTCTTTATAAAAATAGGCATACAAAATTCTGGAAATCAGGGCACAACTAAATGAACTTTAGTCATTAATAGCAGTGCACATGCTGAGCTGCCCTAAATCTCCGCACTTGTTCTTCTTCTCCTCCACAAAATTAAATCCAATCGCAACATAAGCAAAGTAATAATTCCTTAACCCAAAAAAAGAATCGGGAAGTTGTCTCCTCCAAGTCGTCAACTCTTGATAAGCGCATCGCTCCATAAATAAATGCATTAATAAAATATGTAAATACAAATAAATGTGTACATATAATATAAATACACACATTTTATTTATTTATTTATTTATTTACTCATCATCTCCCCATATTTTCTCGTCCCCCTGGTCCTCGTGGAAATTTACCCCCTTTCAAATTTTCATCCTAAGACGATCAACATTCTTCACTCGTCAACAACAAACAAACCAAACAAGTCTCCGCTATTAAACTAAACGCGTTTTCTTATTGATAAGATGATGCATCAAGGTTTGTTATTTATTATTAGGAAGAAATAGGAATCGCCTCGAAGGAAGGAAAGTTAACGAAATACATAGTCAATACTTTTAGTTAGTTAAACATGTTATTTAGTTAACTATACAGTTAAAAGTTAACTATACATACGTACACTAAATAGTTAAATAAAACTGTGTCTTTAGTTCATCACTAAACTCTGTCACCACATTTACTTACTGCTTAAGAAAACTGTTTGCTGACTTTAATATAAATCTGTGTCCCCAGGTTTCTTTCCACTTCATTAGCCTACCAACCTTTCAACGCAATACAAGTGTTCTCTGATTCTCTCTCTCCTCTCTCCAAAAAGATAACAAGTTTTTGAGGAAGTATTTAATTTAACAGACTCCTTAATACAATTTCTTTCTTATTAAACCAAACCACTTGACTCACTACAAATATTTCACAGCAAACTAATAATTGCACAAGTGTCAGACTCAAAAAGTTATTAATTTTTCTCTGCTGCAATAACAATTAAAAACAGATTAAATAAAATACGAAATTGAGAGCCAGACTGTTTTTTTTCGTGACATTGTGATTTCATTTCTTGGATAAATAAGAGTCTTTGAGAGTGTTGTTTATTAATTAAAAAGTTATTGATCCAGTTGGAGGCTTGGCTTGGTTGTTGTTTTTGTTTTTGAAAAAAATAATATATAAAAACCGTGTCTCTTCGACAAGTGGGGAACAGTTGATAAGTGGTCGTCGAAAAGGAAACATTTAACTAACATAATTTTAAACTATCGAGAAGATTTCTTAATAGTTATTAACATTTAACTAATTGTAATTAAACTGCTGAGAAGATTGTAGAACAGTTAACTAATTGTAATTAATTAAAGTTAAATTACTTCGGAATTAGAAAAAAGATGGGAGTTTTGCCCCGATTTTACCAGCAGGATAACGAGGAGGAGGTGACCTCCGAATTTAGTGATCTTTCGCTAACATCGCAACGGGACGAGTATGACGAGGACGATTACGGCGTCACGGTGTACAACTTGGCGGAATGCGAGTTTCCTGTGGGGCTCGATTTCGAGGGGGGTTCGAGTGGGGTAAGTTGTGAATTTTTATATTCCCATACCGAAATTTGCAGTATTTTGATATCGAAATTTGGAAAAAATGCGATTTTTTAACCCAAAATTAATTTGTATGCTAATTTGTTCCGAAATTTGCACTATTTTGGTATCAAAATTTGTTAAAAAAGGAGATTATTTTTGCAAATAATTAATTTGTACAGAACTTTGCAAATATTTTGCAATCAAAATTTGGAAAAGGGATGTTTTATTCATTTGACAATTTGTACCGAAATTTGGACTATTTTGGTACCAAAATTTGCAAAAAAATAAGAATTTCTTACCCAGTTGCTAATTTGTGTGCTAATTTGTACCGAAATTTTGCAGTATTTCGCCATCATGGACATGGGAGAACCAGTCACAATTACTGCGAAGCAGTCTCGCTTTGCTGCCTCAACTTTCACAACGTATCTGGTCCGTGTGGAGGTAAGTTGAGACGATGCATGAGACAGTTTAGCAAAGAACTTGCAATTTTGCAAAACTCGTGCTAATTTGCAATCTTGTTCTCATTTACAGTCCAACTTTCCAACTTTGTCTCACAAATTCTGCACTGTGAGGAGAAGATACACAGAATTTTGCTGGTTGAGGGACGAGCTGGTCAAGAATAATCGAAACAGGTGAGAATTTTGATCAAATTTAAGTCATAATTTTTACCCAAATTTTTGCCATATTTTTTTGCATAATTTTTAGCTCAATTTCTTTGTATTTAATTGTTTTACCAAATTTTGAGCAAAGTTTAGTCATGTTTTACTTTGTTACAAAGTCTTTGTATATAATTTTTAGCCAAATTTTGAGCAAAAGTTGGCCAAACTTGAGTCGTAATTTCATAATTTTTACCCAAATTTGAACAAAATTTTGACCGAAGTTGAGTCACAGAGTTACTTCTTTTTTACCCAATTCTGAGCAAATTTTAATATTTTTTGTGTAATTTTTACCCAATTTTAACCAAATTTTTACCCATTTTTTATAGACAAGTTCCCAAACTGCCTTCAAAGAAGCTCATTCCGTTCACCAATTTCAACGCGTCCTTCATCCAAGAAAGGCTGACCGGGTTGTCTCACTTTTTGCAAAGGTACATACCTAAAAATTCGCAAATTATCGACTTGCTTATCTATCTAAATAGTTGAGTGGGCAGGGTTTTAGCCCTAAAATTATCACGTGATGGTATTTTTCCCAATAAATAAAGTTGGGTAGCTAAATATTTCAATTAGCAAAATAATTCTGATTAAATCTCCGCAAATATTTTCTCATGTCTGCAGTTTTGTTGTTCTTGGTGTTTTTCTGTACCCAAAAATCTGCTTATAACTAATTTGCATAAATAGATAAGCACAGATTGCATCTCTTCTGACTGACTGATAACCTATCGCTGAATAAGATTATCTATTTTCTGCCCACAAAGACGGGATTGATTAAATGTGTGGAACGTAAAATTGGCTTCCTTCTTAATTAAAAGACTTGTAATTTTTTCACGTCGCCTGACCCCAGTCTGCCCCACAATTAATTACGACCCTAATTAAACCCTGGCTTTAAAAAGGGAATGAAATGAATGAGTTCCAGTTTTAGGAAGTGTTCGTTCGTTCGCAATTCATTTGAATCCATGTAAATTTTTAAATAGATTTTCAACTCAAATTTTTATTTAGACTGAAATTTCGACTAATTTCAAATTTCTACTGAAATTTCGACTAGTTTTAACTTTTCCTTCGAAATGTGACTTACTTTCTCCTGAAATTTCGACACATTTTAACTTTTCTCTCGAAATTTGACTAATTTTCTTCTGAAATTTCGACTAGTTTTAACTTTTCTGCTGAAATTTCTACTAATTTTAAGTTTCCACCTGAAATTTCGACTAGTTTTAGCTTTTCTCCTGAAATTTCGGCTAATTTTAGCTTTTCCCTTAAAATTTGACTTCTTTTCTCTTGAAATTACCACAAATTTTAACTTTCTACGTGAAATTTCGACTAGGGTTAAATTTTCTTCTGAAATTTCGATCAATTTCCCCCCTTCAAAATTTTTACTAATTATATCCCCTTTCTGAAATTACAGAGTATTGGAAAACCCCACATTTCTGCGGGATCCAGCCCTCCTCTTTTTCCTCCAGTCGGACCGTACCGTTCAGGAAATGCTGGATATGCGAAAATCGTCCTCCATCCGAATTTCCTCCTGCGCCGTCCAGATCACTTCTTCCACCGGAAGTGACACCGTCTCACCGCTCCTCCGGTCGGAAGATGACGAATCTTCTTCTCAAGGTGACGACGAAGAAGAGGAAAACGTCGATTTGACCCTCAACCCCGTCGCCAAACCGTCAATTTTATCCACGTCGCCATCAGAAAGCTCAGATTTGGGAAAGTTCGGTCTACTACGTGATGTGGGCAAGGCGCAACCAATTCCTGTTCCGTATCGAAAGAATAATAAGAAAATCGAGGATTCCGATAGGTATTTACAAAATTTTTAAAATTTCAAAATTTCACAAAAAATATCAAATATTTTCAACAAAATGTTCCCATTGTCAAAATTTCCCAAACAAATTATCTACTTATTCATGTTGTACACAATTTTACAATTATCACAGTTTCCCCAGAAAATCAAAATTATGTTAAACAAACTTTTGTCATTTCAAAATTTCCATACAAAATTGCGAACTCATTTTCAACAAAATTTTACAATTACAAAATTTCTCAAAATAATTACCAACTTAATTTCTGTAAAATTTTGCTATTGTCAAAATTACTTATAAAAAACCAATTTTCTACAAAATTTTACCAATAAATTACACTCATTTTCTATCTTTTTCAGACTTTCTACATCCTCCTCGGAAGGTGATTCTGGCCATTTTGAAGCCTCTTCCTCCGCCTCTACGTCCCCCTCCACCGCCACCACTGGGGTCAGAGACGCCAACAAAATTTCTCAAATCTGGGCACGCCACCAGAAACAAAATCGTCACCAAAACCACCACAGATATCTTGAAGAAGACGAATACAATACCGCATCCCAACCACCCTCCCTCCTCCAGGTTAACGAATTTCTCCTCTACAACCCCACGTGCTACTATGTCATGCAGTAATTCACACCAATTAATTAATTAATCATTATTAAGTTAATTGTTATTACAGTCTGTAAAAAGGTAATTGATTAATTATTAATTACTAGAGTATTTTTCATATCGTTAATCATTATTACATGCAGTAATTGACACCAATTAATTAATCATTATTAGTAAGTTAATTGTTATCAAAAAGCTAATTAATTAATTATCATTAATTACTAGAGTATTTTTCATATAGTTAATCATTATTAACAAGCTAACTACTAGTAATTAAGCATTAATTACTAGAGTATTTTTCAAATAGTTACATAATCATTATTAACAAGTTAATTAATTAATTACTAATTATTAATTACTAGAGTACTTTTTTGCCATTATTTAGTGTTTTTTTTTTGTACGTGAAAATCCAATTATTTTCCGAATTACTTAAATACCAAGGACATTATTTACATAGTCTGCTCGCTTATCCACCATTTATTAACGACAGACAGCGACAATTAATTAATTGATATCAATGGTCCATTCATTTCGTGACGAGAGGAAGACGATGACGATTAAATATTTGTGAGGCCATTTCCTATTCCTCTTAAAGGGAAGAAATTATGTATGTAAATTAAGACCAACTTATTTATTAAGCAGTTTCCTTCCTTCCTTCCTTATTTATTTCTCAATCAATATTATTTAAATAAATGTTAAATACATACATATTAAAGTTGTTAAATGTTATTTAGATGTTATCATTTATAAAGTTTATAACAAAATTTAAGAGCGAATTAAATAAATTAAATCACTTCCTGCCAATATTTACACATGTATGAAAATTAAGATTTGAATGATTGCACTTCATTTTGCATACATTTTTTGAAAATATACGCATTTTTTTAAATGAATGATGGGTGCGGGCATGGGGTGGATGAAAAGATGTAAATTTTACTACAAAGTTTTTCAGTTCTTACTCAAAAATGGCGAAATATTTACTCAGAATAATTTCCTGCCAATATTTATTCATAAAAATGAAGATGAATGATTTGGACTTTATTTTGCATGCATATTTTTGAAATGAATGAGGGGTGCGGTATTGGAATTGGGTGAAAAAGTCGGAAATTTACTACGCAGTTGTTCAACTTTTTACAATTTTTATTTCAAAATGATACATTCCAAAAATTATTGACAAAAGTTTATAAATGCATGATTTTCACGTCGCGACGAGAAGATAGTAAAGTTTGTGAGTTGATGATGTGAAGAAGGTGAATAACTGGTATTCGAGTTGCAAAAATTAGAATTGGTGGCTCACCAAAATTGACACATTTTAAAATTTTTTTTGTCCCCTCTGGGAACTTATTTTAAAATTCAAGTGAGTTGATTAATGGAATGGCGTTGAGTTTTTTGAGTCAGTTTCGACGAGTTCCAATTTTTCTGAGGGCTTGAGATCTCCTCCTTCAAAAAGTGTCAAAATCTGCAGTGTATATTTTTAAAAAATTGGAAACGACCTGCTCTACAAATTTGTAGTCCAGAATTTTAAAATAAATTCCCAGAGGCGAATGATTAAAAATGTGTTTATTTTGACCGTTTTGGTGATGGGTCATCCAGTTAATGACGGCTAAAAAAATAACTTCTCGGGTCCATTCGTACATAATTTTGCCCACATATTCTTACTTTCATACGAAAAATGCCCCAAATTTCAGGAACTTTTCGAATATTTTGCACCCCGACAAAATATTTTTTTTGGTTATGATACTTAACCCATTTTCGACCTCGGTTATTCCATTCTGCAGACACATTTTTGATCAAAATCGGCCAGCCAACACGTTTTGACAGACAGACAGACAGAAGGGTTACATAAGCCACAAAAAATATGTCGACCTGCAATTACTTAAATTCGCAAGGCATTTGATATTGAGACTTTTCGCATGTAAATATTTAAATTAACATCATTCCATCACTGACCTGTCGATTTTTGCCAACTACAAAATAATGTTAAAGGTCATAAGTTGTAAAGTAATCATAAATCCAGTCTCGAAAAACAAGTCTTGGAAATCTTGGAAATTTTCCACCACTTGTTTTCTACTCTTCTTTACTCACTCACAAACATGGCACGTGCTTCGTTCTCATTCAAAAATTCTTCAATAACAACTCACTCATCCACAAATCGAATGGAATGTCACAGTCATTCCAATTTTGCTTCGATTCAAAGTCAATGTCAATGGCAAAAGACAGTGGCCGCGGAAGCGTAAGTGGGGACAGAGGGGCAATGTCCCCACGGTTATTCGGCAATTACCTCACCATCTGCCTAGGGCTGACAAATCAGCTCCTAATTTTCAAATCCGGATTTCGGATTATCCGTTTTTCTTGTGATCCAAATCCGCTCCTAATTTTCAAATCCGGATTTCGAATTATCCTTTTTTCTTGTGACCTAAATCCGGATTTAAATCCGGATTTGAATTATTTATTGTTATTATTTATTTTCTTGATATTTGAACGAATTAGATAGATGTCAGATAGTAGAATTATTAATTTCAATTGCAATCTCAGCTTTTTTTAGAAGTTTAAATATTTCTAAAAATTTTCTGACGATGCAGGTAATATCTGAGCATTTTTTTAGGTTCATGAACTGAAAAAATGTAAAATTTCAAATAAGTGAGTTTGACGTCGGATATGATAAACTAACTATATTTGGAATGAATAGCATGCTAATTTTTTTTAGATTCACATTTCTCGCCGAGCTCATCGGTATAATTTCTGAATAAATACGCCATATTTTTCATTATTGAGTGAGGGTTACACTAAATAATTTTCAGAAACTTGTCCCATTTTAAATCCCATATGTAAAAGTTTGATAATTGTATAATTATGTTAAACATTCAGATCCTACCCGTTCTTCTTTTATTACAAGTTTGGTAATTTTATGTTAATTAACAAATTTGCAAGTAGTAAATAAATATGCAAACATATTCAAATTAATTTACGTATTAAAAATTATTCTGTAAAATTAAACACGTTTTAAACGTATGAGGTTGAAAAATAAATTTATTTGAGTTGAAATTTCATGAAAATGCAAAAAAAGCCATTTTTCATGCATAATTCGGCCATGCAAGGCTTTACCAAAAATACGTTTTTTACCATGTTTTATATTGTTTACTCATTTTTTCGGTTTTTGATAATTTTGTTAAAATTAAGTACGAAATATTTCACTAATAAATAACTCATGGCTTATCTTATGACTAGTTTATGCCTTACGGCTTATCATATTGATGATAAGGTGGCAGGGCTTATTATAATAAATTCTTAAGCAATACGCATTTTTCTCCGTAAAGGTTATAATAAATAGACGTATGGAGGTAGGAAATATTTAGTACATTAGTAACTTATGGCTTATCATGCCGGGAGGGAAGATAAGGTGGGATAAGCCATTTTTTATCTAAGGATTATATACAATAAATAAATAATTTTCAAAAATTTGTCCCTCTTCAAATCTTATATTTAAAATTTTTCATTATTTGGTAATTATATTTTAATGAAGATGCAAACGGCCAGTAGCCATTTGATTAATTTATTATGCTAATCAAATACATTTGCAAATAATTATGCAAACATATGTTTACAAAATTATTCTTGTTGTATGATTTAAAAAAATTAGACATTCACATTCACATTCAGTCACATTTTTAATCTTGTGAATTGAGTAGAAATTTCGGCAAAAACGCAAAAAAAATCGAAATGAAGTTTCAATTCCTATATAAAATGCAGTTTCATGAAAAATACGATCCTACATAACTTTAACCTTGCTAAAAATTAGTTTTTAGTAAGTTTTTTCCAGCGAGTGACAATTTTCAGAAATCTGTCAAACTTTAAATCCTATACGTAAAATTTGTCATAATTGGTAAATACTTTTTAATTAATATAGTAACTATCTGCTCAACCTACATACTGGATTAGTTTATTATCTTAACTAAATATATTTGCAAGCAAATATGCAAACATACATATTTTAGCAAAATTGTTCTTGTATGATTTACATTTCTTAAAAAAATATTACGTAACATTTGTCACGTTTTAAACCATACCTGTTCACTTTCATTCATGTGACTGAATATGATAGAGAATGATAGTGAATGAAAATGAATTTCCTGTGATTTGAATGAAAATGAGTGAAAGATTCAGTCATGTCATTTCAGATGAATGACTGATTGAGAGGATTTCTCACTCATTTCATTTTTCACCCTATGCTTAATACATAGGGCGAAGAAAGAAATGAAGTCGGATGAAGTGAAATGAAATGACTTTGAAAGAAAATGACTGAATGTGAATAAAAGTCTTCACTCAGAAATCGGGATGACTGAACTTTGAATGAAGAACGTTTTCTTGAACAGCTGAAAAATTAATTGATTTGAATTTTGGTGCAAATGCAAAAAAAAACATTTGCCATTTTTCATGAAAAATACAGCCGACTTTATCAAAAATACGTTTTTTTACCATTTTGTACTTTTTGTCCACGGTTTTTGACAATTTGGTTCAAATTAATTACGAAACATTTCGTCAATAAGTAACTTATCGCTTGTCTTATGACTAATTTATTCCTTATGGCTTATCATGTTGCGATGATAAGATGACATAACTTATCGTAATAAATTCTTAAGCAGTAAGCATTTTTTCCTCTCTCGACGTTATAATAAATAATTGATCAGAAATTTGTCCTACTTTAAATCCTATATGCAAAAATTTACATAATTCGAAACGTATTTTTATAGTTAAGATTCTTTTGCTTCATTGATCCACTTGGTTGTCTTGTCCTACCTGAATTAAATATATTTGAAAATAAAGGAAAAATTGCAGTTCAGTGGACTAGCTCGGATTTGGCTGAAATTTTTGTGTGAATACCCTATGGTCCCCTGAGCAAGAAAATATATTTTTTTCGCGGCGGTCTCAAAAACTGAACTTTCTAGAAATTTTTGAAATTTTTTATAAAAATAATTTTTTTGCCCTCGATTTTCATGAAAATGAGTTTCTAGACTAATTAAAGTATCCTGAAGAAGAATGCGAAGGAATTTTAAAAAACATTCAATAGCAAAAAAGTTATAAATCTTTGAAATTTTGTATACAAATTGTTCTTCGACCTTTCAGAGAATTCCAAGACTTTGTCTCACTTTCCCCCTGTCAGGAATTTTTTTGGGTAAAATCTAATTTTCGGGGTAAGATGAGATTTCTAGTTTCCGGCTATCCTAACTATTACAAAATTAACATTTAATTAAGATACGGTGAGGACACATTTTATATCTTTAAGTTAATTTTATTCTGCTAATTTTACATTTTTTGCAAATATGCAAACATATTTTAGTGAATTTTTTTTACATGATTTACACTTCTTAAAAAACATTCCGTAAAATTAAACATGTTTTAGACTTATGAAGGTGAGGAAATTCATCGAATTGAGTTTGAGTTGAGTTGAATTTTGGTGAAAATTCCAAAAATAGTTTTTATAAAAAATACTATCATGAACTACTTTAAAATGACAAAACATATATTTTGCTCATTTTTTCTCCGCCATGTTTAATAACTTTCCGAGACTTGTCACACTTTAAAACCGATGTGCAAAAATTGTAATAATACGCGATGTAAATTTAATTAAAAGGTATTTCTTGATTGAAAAAGTTTTTTTTCTATCCATGTAAATTTTGTAAATTAAATAAATCTCGTCATGTTAATCATATATGTTTGCAAATATGCAAAAATATTTAAATAAATTTATAAATCCATGATTTACAATTCTAAAAAAATATATTCTAAAATTAGCCACGTTTTAAACTAGT